CCCCCCCCCCCCCCCCCGCCCCGGTCTCTACTGAAATGGCTCCGCTACATCTTGAACGCCTGACTCGTCCGCAGGCCTACAAAGTGCTACCAGCACAATCTAATCCGCCACTACAGGGTTGACCGAGTAGATAGTACTGGTAGCATATCTGACCGTTTTGCTTTCATCGTGTTACCTCCACACATGCAGCACTTGATCTCCTTGCTTCTTTCCCGCTGGCCTCTTGTTCCTTCTTCCTATGCCGAATCTGCAAGTCACGACATCCACAGACTTCTTCTGATTGTGTGGTTCTGCAAGACTGCAGAAACAGCAATCAGCACTAACTACCGGCTAGCCGGCCACATCTGTCCGTCCCGTGGATGCAATGTACAGGCGATACGCACAGCTTGCTGGGATCCTTGCAGAGCATGTACCACGACAGCCTTGAAGTTGGCTTGCACTACTCTTTCACCGTCAAATCCAGATCAAGCATCCAAGGCTTTCGTCTTTACCAAGTCTCACACGCTTCCACTTTCGAGCCGAGCATCGACCTGGCATCAGCAGCGAATATTTGGATAACCTCTGCAGCTCATCGAAACTGCCACGGACTGGCGGGCTCCAGCACCACTTGAACTTTGGATCTTGGAAGATGCTTTTCTGAGCTGCTGCTTGGTTCTTCCCTGCCCAATGTCCGACCACTTACTTCCGACCTATGCTCTCTTGTCAGCTTCTGAAAGAGTGCAGGTATGTCGCCAATGAAACGCATGGCAGCCGAACTGACGAGCTCCAACTAAACGGAATTGTACGTCTACCTATGCCTGCTTCTCCTTCACATCAGCTCTTTCCTGAACTTCTACTTGGTTTATGAGGCGTCTTCAGCTCCGCCTCCTTGGCCTCCTCTGCCTTCCTTGTCTCGCATTCTCTATAAGAGCTTGGCAAGCTGATTTTCCCCTTTTTGCGACTTCTCTTCTATCCGCACCCGTGCGATCACTTGACCAATCGTAACAGCCAATATTAAAGACGCCATGTGGGGCTTCCACTCTTGAGAGTGCTCGCGGCTTTTCGCATCGATCCACACACTCGCTTCTCGGACATAGACCAACTAGAAATTGAGCTGTGGCGCGCTGCGAAGTTGGAGTGCCGCTTCATGTGGAAGGTCTCATGCTCACTCCGGCTGACTTTGGCAAGTCCAGGCCGGGATCACAATTGTGAGGTTTTTCACGAGTACGCTGGAACCTGCACACCTGGCCACAACGCACAGCTGTCGGCTTCGAATGCGACTGGGCAAAAACAAGTGATGCTCATGCCTTCCCTGCCAGGAACCAGGGTCAGGCACTGCCTCCACGACCATGAAGAGATGTGCCAGTCACGCGTTTTGGGACAGAAGCTCAGTTGTGAACACCCAGCTCGTCAGCAAGGTTGCAATAACCTGCTCGCTTTGTTCAGTCGGACCGATGCGAAAGTGAGAGGCAAACAAGTCGGGCAGGCATCCTGCAGGCCTCGAGACGTCGCAAATGCTTCGTTGTATAAAACAGATGCAATCTCCCGACGAAGTCTGTGGCCGCTGCATGCCTGTCAGCTTGCCTGGGCAGCCCCATTCACCAAGTGCCCCAACCCCGTTCGGTTCCGGCCTGCAAGAGAAAGGGTGGCGTTGGAGCCTTGCATCGTGTACCTTGAAAATCTGTTCCCGTAAACCATCGCATGCATGGCAGCAGCGGCCAGTGCTTGCTTGCTGTTTGGTCGGGCTCCAGGCCAATTGTACCCGCGACTGAAAGCCGCGAATCCGACCTCTGACGAATCTGCACGCCATCTGCCATGCAGGATCTGAAGCCATGTAATGTATTGTCAGTCCCTTCTCGTTTGTTAATTGCCACCAGTTTCCAGTGCATGCGAGGCAGGGAATGAAGACTTTCTGAAGGTTGACAGCACAAACAACTTACCTGCTAAGCACAAACAATCTGATTGCTCCTGTAGCAAGCCAGCAGCTAGTGGAGAGGCTGAGGGTGGCATCATGTCAAGGCGACGAGTAGAAGGACTTACCAGGCTCATGCGTGTGATCCCTACAAGTAGCAAATACCGCTAACGCCTCGTGACAAGATCAATATGAAAAAGTGACGACGGATACCAATAGCAATCAACTTTCTCATGCTCCGTCGAACATTCAGGCTGTGCCAGGAACATGTTCTGGAACGGAGGTCTTGGCCAAAATTATAGCACGGAGCCCCATGTAAGCACTGCCTGGGAGAGCTACTTGCATACGTCTGAATGCTTGCTGCTACCTTGATCTTATGCAAACGAATCTCACTGAATGCTGAGCGTTCGACTTGCCCCAGACTGAAGCCAATGTGCCCATCTCCGTCGTCCCATGCATTATGAACTTCCGCAGAACTCAGCGCCAGCAAGTAGCGATTCATGAAGTTGAAAATAGGCGTAGGCCCTAGCCAGTGCTGGCAGTACCCGGCAGTTATCACGCCCTTCCTACAGCATCTGTCGGCGTCCGGTGACCGTCCGACTTGACAATGCTTGTTACAATTTAGAAGTTGTGTATCTCTGTTTGTCACGGCCGGCACCCCTGCTTCTGCTATGTTCTAACCTGAAAAGAGTTTGTGCTCGCATGTCAGGTCAGTCGGTCATATGCCGGGCGGCGCGTGGACCGGTAAAAAGGCACACCGCACGATTCCAGACATGAGGATTCTGTACAAGTCTAGTGCTCTCACCGTGGTTTTCAAGGAATTGACATGCTTTGTCCTTAACAAACGTGACCCATTCTCGTCGCGGTCTCCCCACTCTTCTCACATACATACCTGCGGCAGGCTGTGGCGTTCCGCGAATAAATGCAGAGCTGTGCAAGGGGTGGTTGTATGCAGGTCGCAGGTCTCAGCACTTTACCGAAAAGGAGGAGTTGTCGTTTCAAGTGCATGTCTGTAACAGCAGGGTAACAAGCTCTGCGCAGAACTTCAGTATTGGGCACTCTCGAGATGAAAGCGAGTGGGATGCCAAACATATTTCGTAAGCAACGGTTTTGAAATCCATCAAGACGCCGACGATCCGCGGAAGATAAGCACAAGCAGCTCAGGGAATACAGCAGCTTCGATTCAAAATAAGAGCTCTATAGATTTGAACCTTCCGGTCCTGCGATAAATGACAAATGTTTCCAGTCTTTTTTGGAGCTCAAGAAAACCCCCTTTGCCATCCCGATACTCCGACCAAGTTCATACCCTGGTAGCCCATCATGAATGACATGCCCAGTTTTGCCGAAATATGCTCACGCGTCGCGGTCCGAATGATTGCCTGACATTGTACCTGTAGCAACTGAAACTTATCCCAGTGAAATTCCATGCCATACAGCAGCCCTGCATCTGCGACCGGAGACAAATAGTCCTGCAAATGAGGGTCGGATGTGCCAGCAACCATGTGTCATCAGCACTTGCATGGGGGGACAGCAATCGGCTGTCTTTCTGCAGACCTGCAGGCTCCTTGTAGGGATGAGGCAACCGGCCAGTGTTGTTAAAAAATGTTCATATTACATGCAGCAGCGTTTGTTTGACATTCATGTGAGTATGACCACGTGGAAACACATGGCATGCATATACTGCATATTATGTTATTACAAAATTTCTCATGGACCTGCACGGCAAAGTCTGTGCGATTGCCTAAGTAGACTCACAGGCAGACTGCAATAGCAAACAACGGGGAACAGAAAGACTTAACGCCCTTCTGTGCTGACCTCTCTCGCTCCTGTAGGCATTGGGTGCGGGCGGACTGCTCCCGGCAGAGCTGCGGTTGCAGTGCTGGCAATTGTTTATTCCCGGGCTGAGACTATTTTTCAAGCCGATTGAATGTCATAACTAACCAGAGCCGCGTGTGGCCACAATCCAGCCGTGCACTTGCCACAGTGCGTCTGATTCTGTCGCAGAGGACTGCTTTTGCACAGCTCACAGCACTGTCTATGGACTTGCACACAAGTGCATCAAACTCGCGCCGCACCTGGAAAACGATCAGGCAAGCAGACTTATGTTTGATTTTCGCACCTGTTGTCATCAAATAATTCCACCAGCATCACAGCTGCCTTCAACCACAAAAACTCAAATTCCTGTGAAACAGCTTGTCGACCCGCTAGGGCTACAACAACACAGTTGCAGGGACCAACCTGTATGTTTTGGGAAGCCCTGTTACAGTAAGACACGGTTGAAGTTGTTCGCTGTCTGCATCCCGTCTATGGAGACTTTGTTTGCCTTCTCAGCTGTTCTTGCAATCGAATAACAGCAGGCTTCGGTTGTCCCTTCTTCCCGTGCACCGTGCTAGGCCGAGAAGGCAACCTGTTTGAGAACTGGCGAAAGCGGAGAAGACCAGACACTCCTGGGAACACTGGTCGGAGTCGATCCGAGAATCTGGAAACATGTCGCCGCATGTGGAGACTGCACTCGGCCTCGCCAACGGTGTTCACAAACCCACGGTTTTGCAGTGTCCTGCATCGTAGAAGAACTTGCAGGTTAAGATGGATTGCATTTTTCAGCCCGAGCAGGTTCGCAGCCCGTCGTTGTCGTAAAGATCTGTGACCGGCGACGTTGTGGGCGTGTCGCGGCCTGATGTCTGGCTTCGCAGATGCTGTATTCGACTTGTACAGGTCGCGTCATGAACCCATCTTGGTCGAACCTGGCAAATGACAAGCCCAGCGGATAAAGAAACAGCGAACTTCTACAGTTGCTGCTTGCAAGTGTTGCTCGGTCTTCAAATTATCGAACAAAAAACCTTACAACTCTCGAACTGCATCCTCAGGGCTGAACAAACAACAGGAGATGCAACAGGATCTTTCAGCGAGTCTCGACCTGCCGGTGAGTGTTTGCCCTAAGTGTCCTGGAATCCTGAGGTAACAAGAATCCAACCAGCTTTTGCCTACGCCAGGTGGGCCCTGATTGAACTCGTGGAAACCATAAGAGGACATGAGCCTGTGCCAGATTCCGATCTAACGAGGCACGGCGTGAAGGCGAGTTGTCGAGAGCAACTGGGGGCAAGTGCCGAACAGCAGATCGTTTGTCCGCTCCGTAAGGCCAGGCCAGCATGTAGAGCTGCGCCTCAGCGCGGAGAAACCCATCATAGTTGTTGTGCCACTTACTGCCGGCAATCTCAGGCATTGGCCAAAGCATAGACTTGGCCGTGCTTGTAAATAGGTCTGCAGCTTCCAATATCCCGGCCTTTGAACAACGTATCTAATTCACCACACTAGGCACCACCTGCATGCAGCAAGTGATGGTGACTTGCTGATGGGCGACCATCCCAAGAGCAAACCGGAGAGGACGGCGGCTGACCTTGTACCTGTCGAAGTCGAGCGGCAGTTTCATGGGCGTCCCTGGGGCGTCCTCCATGGAATGCTGGCCTCAGGCTTCCAGCGCTCCCGCTGCTGATCATGATTGTCCAGAAAGAGGAGCGCCCGGTCGGTGGGAACAGGCCTGACATCAAATCCAGAACGAAACACGAAACGCCCGACTCTTGCCAGCTATGAGATTCCAGCGAATCGCACACTCGATAGCGACAGTCTGGAAAGCCTTCGCAAGAACACTGCGATCTGTTTGACTCATGCGACGGATCCAAACGTAGCAGGAGCAAGCGATGTCTTGCCTTCACGCTGCAACCGGAGAAGCTCACCTAGTTGGCGGGACCTTCCAGCAGGGGGCAAGTAGCTGCGTGCCGGCGGCAACAGCATGTAACAATGTACAAAGTCTGATCTGAGCACCCGAAAACACATGTTTGTACGGATGCCTGTTGAACCAACCGCCGGCTTTTCCATCAAAGAGCGATTCGGCAACACGCTGCCCGAATGTAAAGTCGGTCGCTGAGCCGATGGATGTTGCCTGACACGGCTGCAGGTGAATTGAAGCGACTGTGCCCGACAGCCGTCCCTCGCGACACCTGAATCACTTACAATCAAGTGGGACCTGAACACTACTGATACTACTGGTAGCTCCGGGGAAGCTCGCGTTTCGCGCCTTGGCTATTCTGTGGAGTCTACGGATAAAAAAACCCCCGTCTGTCATTGGCTGCTGTGCTCCAGACCCGCAGCCTCTGCTCTAATGAGATAAGGCACGTTGACTAACGAGTAGCAGCAGCAGTAGCAGGAGTAAGAGTGCGAGTAGGAGGAAGCGGAGCAGGAGCAGGAGGAGTACACGTACAGTAGTAGTAGTAGTAGTAGT